CACACACACACACACACGCACGATATCGCGAGAGCCTCAAAACACCTCAGATACTGTCGCTGCTGCACACACACTCGGAAGCAAGCTTCGATCAGCCGGGACCACAAGCAAACAGACCTAAAAGTGCATCATCCTCCAAACACAGCCACTGGAAGTTTGATGGAAATTTCATGGAAACTTCCACCGGGGCCCCAACTAAGCAATGGAAGTTTCGATCGAAGTTTCTATGCTTCAAATGCATTAAATGTGATACCTCCCGAGGTTTTGTAACACACACATATAAACTTCAACCAAGCTTCGATTGAAACTTCTACTAAACTTCTACTACACCGATCGAAATTTCAACTAAACTTCAACCCGTACCCGTGGAAGTTTCCTCGAAATTTCACCTAAACTTCAACCCGTACCCCTGGAAGTTTCCTCGAAATTTCAATCAAACTTCAACCGAGCTATCTTGAATCCAGGCTGCACTGCAGGACACATCAGCTCTCGACAGGTCGCTCACACTCTGGGGTTTACAGCTCTGGTCCGGATCAAGGTCAAGACTGGCACTCTGTCTGTGGAACTTGGCTTTCTTCTTAACCGGTGCCTCTGTGTCATCCTTCTTCAACACATGATGCAAAGTGCTGGTGCACTGGATCTCGGGTGGCTGCTTGTCTGGCTTCTCTTGCATTGAGATCATAAGGTTCTTCCACCCGGGACGATACAACACAGCTTCCCCTTCATCAAGTGTTGATGGAATCTGGGAGTCCTCACCTGTGTCATCCTCGTAAAGCAGGAGCACCTGGGAGTCCAGCACCGGCTCCTGGGACATCTCATTACTGTTCGGCTGCTCGGACGGCTGCTGGCTTGCCATGGATGCAAAAGGAATCGCTAGCACACACTTCTGAGCAGCTCACAGCACATAGGCACCACAGGAACAAACTCCCAAGCCAAGAACACTGCACAATGTGTTCGTGTGTCTGTGCCAAAAAAACACCGTCTGCTCGCAATGCAACTACTGAGGCGTTTTTTCTACAGGCACACCGAAGCACTCCTTGTAGTGTCACCTCCTTCGCCGGCTACGGCTACGGCTTTTCGCCTTCCTCCAGGATGACGAGAACCGCGACACCTTCGGCCATCTGTCCTGCTCCGGGATTGTGTCTCAGGTCTAGGCACACAGAAATCGAGATACGGATCATGACATGAAAATTCACTCAATCCTTGGATCTGGATGGCTTGGAGCTCTCGGATTTCGTCGCCTGTGCCAGGGGCTATAGCTACACTGTTTTCCTCGAAAGGAACAACCAACATGTCCCACAGACCTCCTTCCGGTGCCGATGGCTGGCCGATGCCTGCACGGTTTAGGGTTTAAGGTTTAGGGCTATAGGGTTTAAGGTTTAGGGTTAGGGTTTAAGAATTAGGGTTGGGGTTTAGGTTTCTGTATATTTCTTCCTTGTGTACAGGGAGACATATACCCACACAAGCCCTAATGCCGCGATCCTGGCCTCGTCCTGCTTGGGGTGATTCTCCTGGCTTGCCTGTGCCCACACTTCCAAAGTAGACCACACAAGCCCTAATGCCGCGATCCTGGCCTCCTCCTGCTTGGGGTGATTCTCCTGGCTTGCCTGTGCCCACACTTCCAAAGTAGAGATGACACTTGTGCACATGTGGAACCACAACAATCTGGCACCAGGCCTTGGCTCCGGCATCGTTCTCATCCACCTGTGTGCTCAACCCTAAACCCCAAAACCCCAAGGCCCTAAGACCACGATCCTGGCCTCGTTCTTCGTCTCGTCCTCTGCCTTGGGGTGATTCTCCTGTGCCCACTTCGAAAGTTCAGATGACACTTCCGTGATTCTGGCACGAAAGGCCTCGGGAAGGGGATATGCCTTCTCCATCGCCTGCAAGAGTGTGACCAACAGTACATGACCACATGTATGTCGATAGTGCTAGACATGGCCTCCTTATACGTGTTCATCCTCGGTGTCGCCATCTCCACAACCAAAGGTTTCGGCGAAAGCCCAACATCCTGGTTGTTCCAGTACTCCACCGTCAGCTTTGCTTCCTCGAACAAGAGCGAAAGGACAAGCCAGGAAACGAAAAGCACCAATCATGAGACTAGAGAAAGTGCAACATAAAGAATATCAACATTCGTCCTTGTGTGTATTGAAGGTCAAGAAGGCATAGCAGGTGGCATGCTTCGTGTAGTTCAAGCCACCCCTGTGGATCCTCACGAAGTCGGGTTTGTAGCCCACCGTGTTCCACAAGGCCTGGTGCCGAATCACTCGAACTCGGACACTGCAAACCGAAGCCCTAGCCCACCATCACCCACACCAGGCCTGCCGAATCTCGAATTCGGAAACACCGAAGCGAAGCCCCTTGACGATCACACGTTTCACAGCAAGAGGGCCGGCGACGGCAGTCGTGAACGACATTTTGTTGTGTAAGTTGTGTTTAAGATGTTTCGGCTTGGAAGCTCAGAAGCGCCGAAATATGTGCGAAGTCTGAACATAAGTGCGAAATCTGAACATGAGTGCGAAATCTGAACATAAGTGCTTCGAAATGTGAGCATAAGTACGAAATCTGCACATGCTAAGTGAGAAATTCTGTCAACATGTATGGCACAGGGTCGCAGGTCCCAGCTTTAGGGGTTCAAGGCTGTGTCAGGGTTTAGGTATGTCGGGGGTTTTCAAGGTTGGGGAGTATATAACCATAATCTAATGCTGTAGGGGAGCTTAAGCTATGTGCAACACAGTTTAGGGATTCAAGGTTTAGGGTTCAGGGTTTTAGGGTTTTGGGGTTTAGGGTTTTAGGGTTTAGGGTTTAGGGTTTTGGGTTTTAGGGTTTAGGGTTTTAGGAGAATTCAAGGTTTGAAACCCTAAAACCCTCTAAACCCTAAAACCCTAAAACCCTAAGATCTAAGGTTATGGGGTTGGAAGCTTTAATTTTGGGGTGTAAGGTTACTATGTTTCTGGGACTTGCTAAACCCTTGAGCACTGCACCTGCAACCGCCAACATGTTTCAATGACAACACAGTGACTGCAGTGCCTGCACTTGCCGAAACCCTGGCAAATGTGGAAGGGCACATGTGCTGCTCGTCGTGTGGAGCCCGGCTGCACACTCCTCTCCAGGTATAACTCTCTCCAGGTAAAACTCTCCAGGTATATACCTCTCTTTCGGTAGCACACTTCCCTCACAAAGGTAGATCACTCTTCCATGGTATCGGCGATCACATCATCATCATCACCACCAGCACGTCACCATCACCGTGGACATCAAAAACAATCCTCCTCATCATCATCATCATCATCACCGTCATCATCATCATCATCGTTGTCATCGTCATCGTCATCGTCGTCGTGGTCATCGTCATCGCCACCGTGCCACTGGGAATCATCTTATACCATCAGAAGATCAGCAAGGCCACCAGAATCACTATCATCATGGTCTCGTCATCATCGATGTCCTAACGACACAAACACGACATCACGAACATAAGCATCGTCGTGGCGCTTTTCATGCTCACATCCACAATCACAAAATCAAAGCCCCGCGACCATAAGCATCATCATCACCCTTGTCTCATGCTCATCTGATCACATATAGATAAGCATCCTCACCAAATTTGTCACAGGCTCATCGAATCACAAAACCACCATCAAGATCATGCATATCATCATCGCTACCCGTTATCGGTAATATCATGTCATCCACAGCAGCTTCGAGACATGTCTGCTTGCGCACGCACACACACAGACACACACACGCACACACACGCACGCACACACACACACACACACACGCGCACACACGCGCACACACGCGCACACACGCACGCACACGCACACACACACACGCACACACACACACACACAGACAGAGACACACACACTTAGGCACACACACACACACAAACCTCGCAGCAGAGCACACAATCCACACTGACATGTTGAGCTGCACTGACATGACTGACATGTTGAGCTGCACTGACATGACTGACATGTTGACATGCACTGGCATGATTAAATACACAGACTCACCCCACCCCACCCCACCCCATCCCAATCCACACCCCCCACCCACACCACGATTCCACCATCCCACAGCGGCATGGTTTCCTGCAACTGTCCTGCGACCTGTGTCCCCAATCCACAACCCCGGCCCACCCCACCCCCGACCCCCCACCCCACCACGATTCCACGATCTCAGCGGCATGGTTTCTGCAACTGTCCTGCGACCTGTGTCTAGTCCTTGCAGCAAATTTACACTTCAGCACACAGACGAATCTATCTAGACTGACACAAAGGTTTACCGCAAAAACTGCATGCATGCACCACATGTAACAAAGATGCACAGCTGGACATGTGTGCTTGCAGAAGACATGAACATCTCTTTCTTCTCTCGTCACACCTGTCAGTCGCTTCTGGTGGCAGGTGCCCCTTCTCGGATACTCAGGCACATATACTCTCTCACGGAACTAACTGTGCAGAACACAGGAAAATAGAGACATAGTGACACAGTCTGATGACAGGCGACTGTGACTATACTGTAGGGCCTTCACACACACAGTGTGTTCAGCACACCAGACGTGTGGACCCTCTCCCCGCTCAGACCACCCACACAGCTGCTCACAGCCCACGGGTGAGACAAAACTTTCAGGCATCATCATCCTTCTTCGCTTTCTTCATCTGGGAGCCCTCGGCCTTCGGAAACTTCTGCCTGAACTCTTCCCTTGCCTTGATAGATGCTTTCGAACCCGCTGCCTTGCACTCGGCCAGAGAGAGCCCTTTGGCTTCTGCTTGATCTCGAGCCTGGTGATATGCACGACTGGCGAAACGATTCAATCTTTCCGACCAAGTCAGCTCGGATTCCGGTCGGCCCCCGCCGCCCGGACTTTGCCACAGGAAGGCTCCTAACCTCGGCCACCTTGGCCGTCTCGGCCGCCTCGGCCGCCCCCTTCCCAAGAGCATCCATCTCCTTGTCGTCCTGCTCCTCCTGTTCCTCCTGTTCCTCCTGCTCCGGCTCCACAGCCAGCTTGGCAACCTTGTCCTTCGGCTTCGGCTTTGCAGCTGTTTTCTTAGCAACACCTTTGGCCTGTGCTTTAGCTTTCACCACCGGCTTCTTGTTCTTCGATTTCGGCTTCGGAGGCGGCTTCTGCAAGTCAGCCTTGTAATCCTTCAGCCCTTCCACCACGTTTCTGTCCTCCGGGTCAAGGTCCTGGATCGCCAGGGGGCCCTTCAAGAACAGCTTGGGCGACCCCTCCGAGGGATTGCCTGCCTGAGGCCTCTTCTTCTCCGGAGTCATCACCTTCTCGTCCACCACAGGTCCATCCGGCGAATCCTCCAAGTCCGGCTTCCGAAGCACGGACATGAACACCTGTGCAGGATCCAGCCTCCCGGAACTCGCACTCGACTGCTGGTGCCCGGAACTGGGACTCGACTGCTCTGCCATCATCCTTCTTGCACCCAGTGATCACCTCTTCCACGTCCAACGAGCTGCTGCTCCCCAGCCGTCCAACCAAAGCCAAGGGCTGTGCAGTTCCTTCAGCGGCCTCAACTGCTTCTGCTTCTGCCGACACACCGGTCAACAAAGACAGCACCTCTTCCATGCTTCGCTGCTGGCTCATGTCGGCCTTCCGGAAGAGCCTGGCCTTCGTCACATCATTCTTCAAGGACCGATAGTGACTCAAAGCCATGCGAATTGCATCGTCGCAGAAGTCGATAAAGTCCGACTGACTTCGTTTCTCCGACTTCTGCAAACCGGACGATTTGTCCACAGACTCCAAGGCGATCTTGTGTTTCTTGCCGGGCAGGACGCCGTTCG